AAGCCCTTCTTTCTGTGGATCGAGTTTCTAGTTTTCGACGCCATTTTTCCATTCCTAACGACGTCCATCTGTCACTCGTGGCAGAGAGCGTAATTGACATAGAGAGGACCGATGAGAGTACTATCATCTTTCCTCTCCTGTCAATCTCTGAGGGCGGAATCTGTTTCCCTCTTCACCCGTTTTTGAGGGCCGTCCTTCGTTACTGGGTCTAATCCCTTCTCAGCCTAATGTAAACTTTTACCGAATCATAACGGGAATTGTAGAATTAAATCGACGCCTTAGGCTCAATCTTGGAATCCCTGCTATTCGGCATTGCTATGCCTTGGCCAAATCCTCTGGCCGGTAGGGGCGCTACTTTCTCAGGGCTAAGGACACCGACCATCATTTGGTGACTATGCTTGCCAACTTTAGCAAGCTTGTTGACGATGTCATGGTCGTTGTCCAAGGCAACTGGGAATTCGGCAAGGGCGAAGATCGCCTAGATCCTGTGCCTGGACGAAAAGGCAAACCAGGTGGTTGCATGGTCCATGTGTATTTTTTATATGTTTACTCGGCTTAGATTCTATGCACTTACCGTTTTATTTACGCATGTAACGATTTGAAGAAAGTTCTGGTCTCGGCCGACGACGCTGTACTTGCGCAAATCAAAACCACGCTCCAGTTCTTCGGCCGTCCAAACCTCCAAAAACAAGGGAGGGCGGCCCACGTACTTTTGAGAAACGAGCCAACTTACGCTACGTTTTTGGCCGTAGATAACATTTCGATTCCAAGAGGCGAACAACAGCTTACGGCGCTTATTTTCCCGAACTTCAAAAGTCTTAGGGAGATTGGTCTTGAAGCTTCAGATTTAGAGTCGGCGAATGAACAAATAGCCGAAGAAGTCGCTGACCAGCCGAATCAGTCCACCTTGGATAGATCCGAGAGTCTCGGGGAGGAGGTTGACGCGACTCTAAATTTGGCTTTTGAGAAAGCCAGCCTCAATCCTCCATACAACCCTCCATCCACTTCAGGCTGAGCAGACGTCTCCTTTGAACATATTTTTACTAACTTAGGGGACCTTCCCGGCACATATCCTGAGAACATGGCTGGGGAGTCACTCACGCAAATGGCCAAGAGGAAAAACGCTGAGAGGATGGCCGTCCGGAAGAAAGTTGAAGCCAATCGATCAGAACCTCCACCCGTTAGCGCGGCTGAGTCTTCTCCGCCTGCTCCTGTGAAAGAAACGGCTCAAATTGATACGACTAAAACGGAGCACATTGTCGATCAACAGGGCAATCAGGAGGCCGAGCATAGGGGAAAAAAACGTCCCGCCAAGCACAAAGCCGACTCTGTAGAAAACCTAACCGATAAACAGCCGCGCATAGAGAAGTCAGATTGGGTTGTGTTGTTTATCATACAACCAAGGTTAAAGAACGTGCCAATTGCTTCTGATGCATCGACTGTGAAAGACCCTACTGTGGCCTTAAGCATGGCCTCTTCAATTTCCCTGTCGATTGACAGAGCAACCTTTCGGGCGGAGTCAGATTTGCTGTCAATAGCATTAGCCACTCAATCGGCCATATTGGTACATGACTTGAGACTTGCCTGCAGTCTTGCGCCTATATTTTTTATTTTTTATTTAACTTTAATTCCTTGTTTTGTAGGCGGCGAACAGGATAACTGAGATTGGCCGCCATCAACATGATGCTATCGAACAAATCGGCTTTTTCATAGCCGAAGTTGAAACTGAAAAGAGCAAGGCCGCGGAGGCCTCTCTCAGAGCCAAGTCCGAGGCGATGAAAGCGGCGGAAGAATGAGCAAGGGCCGACGACGAGGTAGAAAAGGCCAAGAGTTCTGACCAACTCAGGTTGGTTACCGAAGAGAAGGCGGACGCGAGCAATGACGCGCTCAAGTTAGCCAAGGAGATGATTGCCAAACTGGAGGCTGATTTGGAAGCATCGAAAAAGGCAAAGGAAATAGCCGAATTCGAGATTTCCAAAGCATTCCAAGTTGGGAAGGACGCTGCCTTGGAAAATTATGTAGAAGAAGTACCTAAGTTCGAGAATTGGGGCTTCAAACACGGCTAGCTCAAAGCCCTCGCTGCCACTAATGTGACATTGGCACAGCTGATTCCATACGAGCAGGTGGACGTTGAGCCGCTAGAGTCTGACCATAAAGATTGACTAGGGAGTAATTTTGATTTTTGTTAGGCATCTTGTGTGCGTAGTTTTTGTAGATTTTTGTTTATTTATTTTGGTTAGAAGTCAAATATAGGGTAATTTTCATGTGTAAAAATTCTACTGTTTGTACTTAATTTATTAATGAAAATCTCCTTTGCCTTTCTCTGTCTGTCGATTGCATGTGCTAGTTAACGACTAAGTAGGATGTAAAATCATGAAATGAATAAATTAATTCAGCAATAAAATAACTGCGTATCTTTGCGATTTAGTCGAATATATTAATGAATTTACCCTTGCCCCAGCTAATGAATGAACTGGACCGCCAAATAACGGAAGTTCATGGATTGGCTAGGGCACATCACTTAGCGGCGCAAAACTTTGAAAATTAGCCAAGTAGATTGATGAATCTGCTCTTGACCCAGCTAATGAATGAACTGGACCGCCGAATAACGAAAGCTCATGGATTGGCTGGGGCATATCAACTTAGTGGCGTAAAGCTTCGAAATGTAGTCAAATAGATTGATGAATCTGCCCTTGCCCCAGCTAATGAATCAACTGGAGACCGCCGAATAACAGAAGTTCGTAGATTGGCTGGGGCACATCACTTAGCGGCGCAAAGCTTTGAAATTTTGGCGCAAAGTTTTGAAGAGATCGCCTTGAGAATGTTAAACTCGTAATTAATAAATGGTGTGGGGGCTACGTGCGCGTAGGTGCCATTTTTGCGTTCAAATCCAACACATTGCGAGGGGAAAAAAAGCATTGTGTCGAACCAAGCTGGACGACTATGATGGCAAGAAGACTATTCTTTAATAGCAGAGGGAAGGGTAGGACACTGGCGAAACTGGATGCAGAGATGAATCGAGGTGGCGAGCCTTCGCGCACGGGGAGTAGGACTCCGGGGGAGCGTGAGAGGCGTTACTCCCCACATTGTCGAAGTAGGTCACCCAAGAAGGAGAAGCAGCAACGATGTAACTCCCCCCGTTCGAGAGGAGAAGCCAGTGGGCCACCGCGCCCGTTAAGTTTTTCAGTCTTTGTTAGGAACAAACCGATGATGAAAACGGATTCGATTATCCGCGACCCAAACGTGGCAGTCGAGTTCGCTCGACAGATTTTTTTGCCAGAAGCCCAGCAATTGATGGTCGGTCAAGCTGATTATGAAGTTTTTCGGGAGGGCGTCCATGGAGCAGTAAAGGGGTTATATACCTCCTATCAAATCGGCATGCATCTTCGTGCCGCGCGAAGAAAGATAGAGCAAAAGGACAGTCACATTTGGAGCTTGGAAGCTCATGCTGAGAGAGTTGAAAATGAGCTGAAAAAAGCTAAAACCTCTAAAACTCAATCGACGAGTCAATTGAACCCGGTTGTCGCGGAACGAGTAAACTGGCGAATTTTGGATCACGCGATTGCTGACCGAGATACGATGAGCATGTTCGCAATAGAAGCTGCGAAGACCAGGTCCTATGAACAAGGCTTCCATGACGGCCGAAAAATTGGAATAGACAAGATGAAGGAAAAACTAGCCGAGGAAGTCTGTCGATGCGCAAATCATGGATTTAAGCATAGATGGATCAAGGCTCTCCAAGCCGCGGGCGTTGATTTGGCGTCGCCTTTATATCAAAGTTATACGTTTCCGTTTGACGCTTTCGACGCCGAGAAGATTGATGATGAAGATGAAGCCGAATAATTTTTATGTATATTGTTTACATTGTTCCGTTTTTATGTAAAAGATGTATTCACGATCTACTTAATGAAACATTTTATTTTGAATGTTTGTATATTATTTCAATCAATGTTTGTAAATTAAGTCATGGGCATCTACGTACTTTGTGTCAATCGCGTTTGCGCTTATCAATCGCAATATCCATGAAGGGTGCTCCGAATTCGGAGGCTTATTCGGCCCAATCGCGTCATTCACGGATGGGGCTCCGAATTCGGAGGCTTTTATCTTGGCCAATTGGGATATCCACGAAGGGCTCTCCGAATTCGGAGGCTTCTATCTTGGCCAATCGTGACATCTACGAAGGGTGCTCCGTATTTAGAGGATTATTCGGCCCAATCGCGTCATCCACGAAGGGTGCTTCGAATTCAGATGCTTTTATCTTGGCCAATCGTGATATCCACGAAGAGCGCTCCATATTCGTAGGCTTATATCTTGGTCAATCGTGATATCCACGAAGGGTGCTCCAAATTCGAAGGCTTATTCGGCCCAATCGCGTCATACATGGATAGGGCTCTGAATTCGGAGGCTTTTTATCTTGGCCAATCGAGATATTCATGAAGGGAGCTCCAAATTCGGAGGCTTTTATCTTGGCCAATCGTGATATCCACGAAGGGCGCTCCGAATTCGGAGGCTTATTCGGCCCAATTACGTCATTTACGGATGGGGCTCTGAATTCGGAGGCTTTTATCTTGGCCAATCGGGATATCCACGAAGGGCACTTTGAATTCAGAGGCTTTTATCTTGGCCAATCGTGACATCCACGAAGGGTACTCAGTATTCGGAGGCTTATTCGGCCCAATCGCGTTATCCACGAAGGGCGCTCCGAATTCAGAGGCTTTTATCTTGGCCAATCGTGATATCCACGAAGGACGCTCCGAATTCAGAGGCTTTTGTTACTGAACCAAAATTCACAAAGTAGAGAGAAAAAAGGCATTGCATTGGAAAGTGAAAGTTGTACATAGTGAAAATTCAAAATAGGCTACTATACCATACAGGTTGGGTTAATGATAAAATTTACGCAAATGCGTAGAATTCTAAGGACGTGGCAAACTTCTTCCTAACATGTCTTTGAGCCGATATGCCCCTGTGCCAATGATTGATTCGACCTGATAAGGGTCATCTCAATTGGGGCCTAACTTTCCGTTAGCGGGATTCCTAGTAGCGAGAAACACTTTCTTGAGGACCAATTCGTCAGGTGTATAATGACACAGCTGTACGCGTTGATTATATGATTTAGCGAGTTGTTGCTGACACCGTGCCATAGAAGCAAGGGCACGGTCTCGACGTTCCTCAATCAGAGTCAAGTCCAACGCCAACATCATGTCATTACGGCCCAAGTCAAACACCTCTGTTTTCAAAGTGGGTAGGCCGATCTCTAAGGGGATGATTGCCTGCGTTCCAAAGCACAGAGCGAATGGCGTTTCCCCAGTGGATCGCCTTGGAGTAGCGCGATAAGCCCATAACACACTGGACAGCTCTTCGACCCATCGGCCTTTAGCTTTCTTTAACCTTTTCTTGATGCCGTCCAGGATGACTTTGTTGGAGGCCTTCGCTTAACCATTGCTTTATAGATAAGCCAGCGAGAAAAAGTAGGGCCAAATACCGTGCACAATTCTCGGTAGACGCCACAATCAAACTGCGTGCTGTTATCTAAAACAAGTGCTCTTGGTATGCCGAATCGCGTTATAATGTTTTTCCATATGAAACGCTTAACGTCAGTGTCTCGAATATATGTCAGTGCCTCCGCTTCGACCCATTTTGTGAAGTAATCTGTCACGACAATCAAGAATCGCTTGTGCCCTAGGGCCCGTGGCAATGGTCCAATGATATCAAGTCCCCATTAAGCGAATGGTCAAGGACTAGTGATAGAGCTTAACTTCTCGGCAGACAGATGAGTTAAAGGGGAAAACTTCTGGCATTGTTTGCATTTCTTAACATAGCACTCGGCATCTGTTCTCATGGTCAGCCAATAGTACCCCTGTGTTATAGCTCGATGAGCCAAAGAACGTCTGCCCGATTGGGCATCACAAATGCCTTCATGTATTTCAGACAAGAGTTCCTCGACTTTATTCGAGTGAACACATTCTAAGTATGGCCCAGAGAGAGATTTTTTGTAGAGCTTCCCCTGCGGGTCCAAGTAGTATCGGAGGGCTTTGTTTCGTAGTTTGTGTGCCTCTTTCTTATCCATCGGGAGTTGCTCTGAAGATAGGAATGTAGTAATAGAGTCCATCTAACTTGGACCTGGTTCAATAACGTTGATCTGAACTGATTTTGAAAAGGCAATGCTCGGCTCAGGGACGAACCCTACTTCGATTGTCCGCTTAATTTCTGAGTTGATGACAAAGGCTAAGTAAGCCAGGGTGTTCGCATGCGTGTTCTGATCTCGAGTTATTTGATTCAGTTCGTGGTGATCAAATTTCGTGAGCAAAGAATTCGCTATTTTCATATAAGTTACCATGCGGTCATTTTTGGTTGCATATTCCCCTTTCAACTAGTTGATTGCTAGCTTTGAGTCACAGAAAATAAGCAGACGCCGCGCACCGAGGTGAAGTGCATTCTGTAGGCCGGTTAACAATGCTTCGTATTTAGCCTCATTGTTTAATACATCGAAGCCTAGTTTGACAGCCTGTTCTATTATCGCCCCTTCGGGGGTCATGATTACTACGCCAGCCCCACTGCCACGTTGGTTGGATGACCCGCCACAATATATTTGCCAAACGTCTCCAACATACATTTTCCAGTCGGAGTTAGGTTGCACTTGATCGGACTTAAAGTCGGCGAGGGATCCTGTGAATTCGGCTATAAAGTTGGCAAGCACTTGTCTCTTGATGGAAGTTCTGGGTAGAAATTGGATTTCATACTGGCCGAGTTTGAGAGCCCATTTCAAAATGCACCCCGATACTTCCGCGCTGCGGAGCGCTGACCGGAGGGAATAGTCCGTTAGTACCCCAATGGTATGCCCCTGAAAGTAATGCATCAGTTTTCTTGCGGCCATGACGAGAGCAAGGATAAGCTTTTCCAATAGAAAGTAACGTGTTTCAGCGTCGGCCATTGCTTTGCTCACATAGTAATCTGGTCGCTGCTTCCCAAGTTCTTCCCTTAACAATACGGTGCTGACCGCTCGGTCATATACTGCCAGATACAAAATGAGTGGATCGCCTACCGCAGGTGTTACCAAGAGTGGTACTGATCGGAGATAAGACTTCAAGTCGTCCAAAGCGGCCTGGCACTCGGGGGTCTATTCAAATGCTCTGCCTTACCGAAGTGTGTGAAAGAATTGTCGGCAACGACCTGTGAAACGGCTAAGAAACTTGTTAAGTGCGGCGGCCATTTCCATCAGCTTCTGAACCTCTTTGACTGACCGAGGGGATCCAAGCTCTAGAATTGCCATTATTTGCCTCAGGTTGGCTTCGATTTCGCGGTGGTTAACGATGTAGCCAAGGAATTTGTAGGATCCGATGCCGAATACACACTTTGAGGTGTTCAATTTCATCTTGTACTTTCAAAGGATGCCGAATGTCTCTGCCAAATCGGCTAGATGGGCGTGCTTTTCCTTGGATTTGACCACCATATCGTCGATGTATACTTCCATGGTACGGCCGAGTTGTTCCCTGAACATGGCAGTCACTAATCTTTGGTAAGTTGCCCCTGCATTCTTTAGCCCGAAAGGAATGACCTTGTAGCAATAGGTTTCTCGTGCAGTGAGGAATATGGTTTTTTCTTGGTCCTCCGGATGCATGGCTATTTGATAGTAGCCCCGGTAGGCATCTAAGAAGCTCATGCGTTGATGATGTACCGTTGCACCTACGAGTTGGTCTATTCCGGGTAAGGGAAAACAGTCCTTAGGACAAGTTTTGTTTAAGTCCGTGAAATCCACACAAACACGCCAAGAGCCATTCTTCTTCTTTACAACCACAGTATTAGACAACTATGTGGGATAGGTTACCTTACAAATTGCCCCGGCATCAAGTAACCGATTAACTTCTTCAACCACGGCCGAAGTATACTCCGCGGCTATCCGCCGACTTCTCTGAATAATTGGCTTACATTTCGGATCAACGTTTAAGTGATGCTGGGCCACAAATGGATCCACTCCTGCCATCTCATATGGTTGTAACACCCCCAAAATAATACCATAAATATGACCCAAGCATAAACAAGAATTACATAAATCAGAGTGTAAGTAATCATTTCATTACATGAAGTTGATAATACAAGAGGGTTTAACATAAACAAATGCCCTTCGGGCTTACATCTTTCCAAGACATTACTAGGTTACAACAAAAGAGAGTCACAAGCTCATTACATATAAAGCCTTATGCTTGAATAATCATTTATACATCTAAACAATAAACAACAAAATAGAGCCTTCAGCTCCTAAATCCTCCCAAGCTACCTCCTTGGAAGTAGCACGTCACCAGTACCTGAAAATGGTTTCCCAAGTAGGGTGAGTCAAAGCCCAGTAGAGATATACTAACACAATATATGAAGTTCAACTAAGATATAAGCACTAGATAAATGCTCCACATTCATAACCAACTTACTTCTTTCCATGATCTTTCAATACTAGTACCCATATCTCGATCCATTTTCAATTATTCATTTCATTATAATTCAATTAATTCCAAGTTAATTCATGAGACAAGTTCATTGTTATCTAAACAACCTAAATGAGACTACAACTCAATGATTTACAATTCAATACAACTATTATTCAAACACTTCAATTTTTCCATTTTACAGAATTTTCGTCCGAGGGAATCGGCACCCATATGTATATAAGGTTTTGGGACTTTCACCCTGGACACTCTGGCCAACTTAATTTTAAATGGAGTCCATCCCCTATCTCTTCCCAAACAATGGAGTACATCCCCTATCTCTTCCCAAACAATGATACATATACAATGTATTAAAGCACATAATGACATATGGAGTACATCCCCTATCTCTTCCCAAATAATGATAAATATACAATGTATTAAAGCACATAATCACATATGGAGTACATCCTCTATCTTCTCCCAAACAATGATACATATACAATGTATTTAAAAGTGTCATATACAATGACTATCTACGGCACATATTTAATATCTCAATCATATCATCACATTCAATGATGTAAATTAAATGATAGGTTTCAATTCACCTAATCCACATGCAGTTTCTACAACAATCATAGCTATCCTCCACCGATAGCCCAAAACAGATATTTTCTAAACAGATATCCAATCTTTTAAACAGATAATTTATCAGATTTTCATAGGTTAGTGATTTAACAAATGCAACTACACCATTCATTCATGCACCCTCCCAATTTCATATTTCCCATATCAATTTTATCATTTATACAAAATAATTTATTTAACTCAAATTAGGGCAATTCTCTCCATTTTCTCAAATTCTACCAAATAACTAGATTCCACCATTTTAATACCAAACAACCTCATAACGCAACCCCATGATCAAATATGCAACAACACATGAAGACCCCTCTTTATAAATTTGAATCTAAACCCTAGATTTCCTCCAAACATCCCAAATCTCACCATATATTCATAACAAAAAATAACTAATTTAAAATTCATAACAAAGTGTAGAATATCCCTACCTCAACGTTAGGAGACCAAAGGAGAAGATGGAGACACTTCAAACAAACCAAAACCACGATCCATTCGGATCAACACGGAGCCCTCAAGGTGCTCTACCTTTTTAACAAAGGGAGTAAGGTAGAGAGATGTTTAGATCAAGGAGTATTTATAGAGAGAGATAGAGTTTTAGAGAGAGAGGCTGTCGGATTAGGGTTTTGAGTGAAAAGGGACACAAAAAAATGATACAAAAATCCTCTACTGCGAACTGATAGACGTGGTCTTCACTCGAGTGAAGGAGTTGTCGCTCGAGCGACCAGACATAACAAGTGACCTCGCTGGAGCGCAAGAAGCGTTGCTCGAGCGCACAATGCAAAGCTTTAAGTCTGCCACAGATGCACACGCTCGCTCGAGCTCATGAAACCTCGCTCGAGTGAAGGAACAAATAACACAAGGCTCGCTCGAGCACACAATGCAAAGCTTTAAATCTGCCATAGATGCACACGCTCGCTCGAGCGCAAGAAACCTCGCTCGAGCGAAGGAACAAATAACACAAGGCTCGCTCGAGCACAAGAAGCCTCGCTCGAGCGAAGAACTTCATCTTCCCCAGAAATGCTGCGTCTGGAAGGAAACTTGAGAACTCCTAATTCTCACAAGAAACTTCGCTCGAGCGAAGAAGCAAATTACAAAAAGTACGCTCGAGCGAAGAGGCCAAAACCTGGGCAACAACAATCTAACCCAACTACAACCAACCTGTTCCAAACTCGCCCAACAAGTTCTAAAACTCAAACATCAAGGCTCAAAGGAGAAAAACAAGACATGGATACAATATTCAATCACGGAATCCAAGTCCGGAACACAATGAAGGCTGGGGCAAAATCGGGATCGCTATAATGGTGACCATGCAAACACATTGATATTGCCAAGTAAGAAAGATACTAACTCTTGCCTTTCAACTTTATCCAAGGAAGCGCTGAACATGAAGAACTTGTCAGGATTCCCGTCAATTTCGACCCGATCTAGGGCTTCGGTGGCCTTTCACTTGGGATCTTCCCAATGTCTTTGAGGCTCTCCCTATCCGGTACCTCAATTGAATGCACTTCCAGCTCCCTTGGTCTCCTTGCAATAAGAAGATAGCATGCCTGTGCCGATTTCTGAGAACTGCGAATTTGTTCGACACCGTACTCAGTCGAAAAACGAAGTAGTTAATGGTAGGTGCTTGGCACGGCTTGCATTGTATGCAACCAAGTTCTTCCCATGATGACATTATATGGCGAAGGAAGTTTGACAACCAGAAATTCTACATCTACTGATCTGGTGCCCACCCGAACTAATAGTGTGATTTTGCCCGAAAGATACTCCGGGTTAGCATTGAAGCCGAAAAACGGGTAATTAGCCGGAGACAGATCCGAGTCTGTGAAGCCAAGTTTGACAAAAGTTTTGTAATACATTATTTCCGAAGTGCTGCACTGGTTAATGAGAACACACTCAATGGTGCATCTGTTTACGTGTAGCTCGATGATGAGGGGATCAGTGTGGCGGTGAGTTATTCCAACTATGTCACTATCATCGAAATTGATCCTTCCAGTTTCATGGGGCCGTTTCACTGGCATGATTGGGCTATGAGGGCTAGACTGCAACTGAAGTATATGCACCTCGGATGACGTCGGCAAGCTGTATATCATATGAATGACACCAAGAGAAGGTGAGTCCGACCGTAGAGCTACTGTATTTGATGGATTGTTCTTTCCGACGTGTTGCGTAAGACGGTCGTCTTGCACCAACTCCTCCAGGTGATCCTTTAGTGCATAACAACTATTGGTGTTGTGACCGTGACCTTTATGATACTCACACTGTTTATCCCGTTTTCTTGCATCGGGAGGTCCCGTCATCTTGGGCGGCCACTTGAAGAACGGAAGGTGTTGAACTTTCGACATAATCTTTCTAATCGGCTCTGTTAACTCCATGTATTTCTTACCTGAGCACCTGGTGCGCCTACTATCCACTTAATACTGTTCATTAGCTCGATGTGAACATTGATCGTTTGATCGGCGCGAGTTACGCATTTTGTCTCGTTTAGCTTGATTCCACGGCTCGGGGCTTCTTGATGGCACGACGCTAATCAGCTGAATGATTCCCGACGTGACCGTCTCAACGGCCCTGATCCTCTAAAACCCTGAAGGACGTCCCTGATCCTTTGATTGCCACCTGAAAAAGGGATTAACACTCCGGTCGGGGGTGTCGGAATTAGCACTCCAATGGACAAGTTAGTATACTCTCGTTTGCTTGTGGCTTAAGTTTTTTTAATCTGTTCACACATACCTCTCTTTGGTTGATACTCTTCTCTTTTATACTCGTCCTTGGTCTCGGGGGTGGGGCCCACTTTTAATCCAGCGCATAACTGCTCACTCGGCCATTAAGTCGTATGCCTATTCACATTCGACTTCTTGTACGTCTGATTCTATCGCCGATTTAACTATTTGGCTTCAGGGTCCCCCATGACAGAGCCAAATAGTATATATCCTGATTTTCTTCAAATTCAGTTGGTTTTCCTACATATAAAAGTAATTTGGCTCCCACAGTGGTATGTGTTGCACCTTTCAAGCAAAACTTTATATAATTATCCTCAATGTATTAAAATTTTATTATGAAGGATTTTTGACTAAATCTTCCCATATTTAAGTTTTATTATGTAAAAATTATATGCACATTTAAATTTATTGTATTTTTTAATATTTTATTTAATATAAAGTTTGGTGGCATGTCGTTCTCCATTATTTTTTGTCTTAATTAATTAATTAATTCTGCAATTCCACTAGCAAAAACTAAGCTAGTTTTGTTTTTACTCTTCTTCCTTTTCCGGCTCTTGTTTATTTTCATTATTAACTAAGTTATAGATATTACTATTTTACTGCTATACTTTGTTAAAAAATAGTCATTAACCTCATCATCACTGTTCACATGACCCTCTAATTTGAAAAATTATTTACTGTCGGGTGTAATAATACCATAATTCATCTCTAATCATACATTTTTGTGCATTCATGCTAGACCCACACAAAATGTATGAATAGACCTCTTCTTGTTTTTAATTTTTGGAATTAGTAAACGCTTATTAATTGAAATAAAAGATATGCAATACAGCTCACTGTTTTATTATTAATGACAATAGTAAATAATTGCTTCTCTGTTTGTTATTTTTTTATTTTTTTTATTTGGGTTTTGTATTCTTTCATCAAATATATTTTGTCATCACCAAGAACCAAAACAGCCTGTTATCATTTGTTACATCTTACTATTATTAATTTATTAAATGAAGTGTAAGCATAATTGTTATGATTTATAGCCACAGCAAAATCAGTGAGATAACCAAGAACTGTTTCAATTAAGGGTAAATACATGTCAGTATAAAAGTTAAAAATCAACCTATCTTTCTATATATTATATTAGGAAAAGAATTTTTTTTTAGTGAGAAGCATTCTAGAAACTCTAAATTTTCATTTTAATATTTTTAATTTTAAATAATTATTTGTATTTGATAATCTTACATTGGAATTTGAAAATCCCATATCAAAAGAATAATGAAAAAAAATTAGTTATTTTACTCATATAAAAAGAATCTTATATTCCCATTCTATTTAGCGAGGAGCTTTGTGAGAGTTTTAATATCTTATATTAATTTTCTTGATTTTCTTAATTTGATAATTCCACACCGGGAAAAGAAGGAAAAAGTAAATTTGTTGGCTACATATTTTGTACAAGCCAATCACAGTTCGGCACGTGACAGAATAAGGGTAGTACAGGAAGACAATTCAAATCTTCAATCATTATCACACACGTGGCAGTCAGCATTGGTTTGCTGTAGATCTGCGTAACACTGAATCAACAAAGATATGCAAGATGGCATGGCCTTAATGGTTACTTACATTTAAATTCAAAATCAGGAGGGAAACCTAACTGCAAGTATTGGCATAATGAAGCTAACTATAAGGCAACATGATCAGCGATCATGGAGGAGCGGTTCGACGGTTAGAAGTATAATTCGATGGTTGTCACTGAGAAGTATAAATAGCAGAGAAGGCCCCAGAAAATCTCCCCAGACTCAGATAAAAAAAATCAGTTTTATTCTACTTTATTTCCTTTCCAGTTTTACATTTCTTGTTCTTTACATTTCTGTACTTCAAATTCCTGCATTGCATTTCGTTCATAGGAGTAGTTTTCAAGTAGCTTGTTACTGTAAACCTCTACGACGCTAATTTGGATCTTTGTAAGTCTTTCATTTTGCTTAATGAAATACTACAATTGTTCTTCTTTTAATCATTGTCTGTTTAATTCTCCTAAACAAAGCCACCAGTAAAAGTCCTCTTCATTGAGGCTGAAAGAACTAAAACACAATTGTCTGATAATTGGTTGACAATTAATATTCTGTAAGGACTGATTGATCCTTGTTGGCACGCTCATAATTACAAAAATAACCTTCGAAAACCAAAAAGCCAACATATATTTTTGGCACGCCCGGTGGGATAAATTGAAATGGCTAGACGTAGGAGACAAGGAGAAAATGAACGTTTGGAAGAAGGAGAGGATAATATGATAACACATCCTGTGGAAACACCTATTTTATCAGAACCTATGGTCGAACAGACCAGCACTTCGGAACAAGTACCACATGTTCATAATATTGGACGAGGTCAAGGAATTGGACCATCCACTGTTCCATCTACTCAGCCAATGAACCCATGGGGTGGCCTAGTAGATGCTATGAGACAACAGATAATAAATACAATGGAAAGATGGGCAACATCCTTTTTGGATCAAATGAACACTCATCAACCAACTAACGCAAGACATATAGAGGGAAATTCAAATGTCCCTCAGCAAAGATTGGCTAGAGATAAACAGTATACGCAGAATGATGAACATACTAATGGTCAAACTAGTAACCAAAACAATGAAAAACCATCACCTCAGTCTTGGTATGAGCCTCTTTCGAGGCCTGTGGCAAATCAAAATGCCTCCTTACTCAAAAGTGAAGCCATGCAAATTGGTGGATCTGGTCTAACACAGGAAAATGGCGTAAGGATGTTTCCAAATCCCATGTTCGCAGCCATACCTGGTACGAGGGGGTTCACTAATCCTTTATTCAAATTTATACCCGGGGGGTTAGAAGGTTTTCCTGTAATTGGAAGAGATACAACACCTGTTCCAGCACCTTTCGTAGGTCCTTTCGCAGGACAGGCTCAAAGGGGTCACCCATACCCTCAACAGCAGCCAGCACCACAGGGATAACCAGTCCCAAACATACCACCCTATGGACCAAGAGGACCCCAGGCACAAGGTTGTCCACCAAATCCTGTGTTTGTTCATTCAGTAGTGGTTCAACAGGCACAAAATATGGTCCCTAGGGACCAAATTGTTGATATTGTTAGAGAGATGTGTGGACCAATGGCTCAGGGGGTTTAGACTCCTGTGTACAGGAAATCGTACCCAGAATGGGTAGATAGGGTACATGAATACCCAAGAGATTTCAAGATACCAGACTTTGCCCCATTTTATGGGAATGGAAACCAGTCAACGGTTGAGTATATTGCTAGGTTCGCGGCTCAGTGCGGTGAATTTACCAATAATGACTATATAAAGTTAAGATTATTCCCAAATTCTCCAACTGGGGGAGCCTTTGTACGGTATATTAACCTTACACCTGGCTCTATCCGGACTTGGCAACAAATGGAGGAGGCATTTCATGCCCAATTCTTCCAAACGGAGCCAGAAGTATCTATGGCAGACTTGGCAAGATTGAGTCAAAGGCTTGATGAAAAGGCTACTTAGTTTATTTCTAGATTCAAAAGAGCACGAAACAAATGTAGGATCATCTTACCAGAACCTGAATTTATGAGGTTGGCTCAAAATGGTCTAGAGTTTAGGTTTCGAAAGAGTTTGGCTCAACTGAGTTTAGAGACTTGGTAGAACTAACCTATAAGGTGTCTAGGTATGAAACATTACTAGAGGAAGAGCAAGATCGAAGTAATACATCATACAAGACATATTATAAAGATCCTAATTATGAGATTGGTGCGACAGAGATTCTGGGAAAAGAACCTGTGATCTGTGAAGCATTAATTTATAAAGACACAATAATATACCAGCAGTTTAAAAAGAAAGACCTTCATAAGAAATACTCTTTCGATTTAACAAAGGCAGATGACATTTTTGATCATTTGCTTATGGCAAACATCTTGAAGTTACCAAAAGGAGTCAAAATTTCATCTCCAGAGGAACTTAATGGAAAATTGTATTGTAAATGGCATAATTCTTAGTCTCACTCAATTAAAAACTGCATTGTTTTTCGAGACAGGATCTAAGAGCAGATTCGAAAAATGAGTTTAAAATTCCCAGCTAAAGTAGAAACGGCCATGGGGATTGACACTAATCCATTCCCAGAAATTGGAGAAATGACAGCCAATGTTATTGTGCCAGACTTCCAGAACTTGTCCTTGAAAGAATTGGAAGAGGTCAATGTGCAAATGCACGTTGCCAGCCAAACTACTGTCAAAACAGATACTAGAAGTTTACTAGCTGTTGGGCAAGGCTTTGCAGGTCAAAAGAAGGACTCTGATGAAGAGGCACTAGATGATGATTCTTTAGAGGCGGCTGTCGTGCAAAGAATGTGTCCTAGGTGTGGGTTGAGCTATAAGTGGTTGAAGGGGCTTCCAATTGATGGGAAGCAATATTACAAGGATGTGCAGAGGCGTCCTAAACCAACCAGTGCCTATAATAAGAGACCATATCCAACTGGTACTAGACAGTAGCCATTCATGACTGAGCTAGCGGCTACGAGAATGTAGTCCAAGGGCAAGAGACCTCTACATGAATTCAGACCACTCAACTATTA